TGAGCAGTTTAGCAGTGTGTGATGTTCCACCTTCTTTTTAAAGGTCTGAAGATGATCCATTCCTGCTCTATGCCACTCTTCACTCAGGAAGTCACTGTAGATTTGTTACCAGAGATCTATTACGTGATCATAAGGCTTGTCTCTCTGACAGTCTAACTCGACGGTTGTTCTTTAAATGGCAGCGGGGACATCAGTGGTGCTATCTGACTACATACCAGGAAAGAGGATAAAGTTTTGAGGTATTTTTATTTTAATGCACTCCTCCGGCTGATTTAGTTCTAGTAATGGAAATGCTGCATGTGATCATCACAGAATAATAAACTGATTTAAAATATGATTAATTATAACATCAATGGATTAAGTTGGTAATGTGGAGTGGGGTGTAATATTTACTGGCCATCCCCAAAAATAATTTCTTCGGGATTTTATTCCCGTAGTTCCTATTCTGCATACCAAACATATCTGTGAATGTATGTTGGGAGATGTGCAACATATATATTTTTATAGGAAGTAAAAACTAACAGTTATTTCTTTTTCTTAACAGTCTGTATTGAATTTTGATACAATCGTGCAGACCACAGGTAACACATGGCATATTCCCTATGATGACAACGTCTTGGAAAGATCTTCTTATGAAGTGCCTACAAAATGGCTTTGCCTTCAACAGAAATAAAGGATGCATTTCTCTGAACAAAAATGTACACATGGCACACTGTTGTCTGAAATAAAGCAGATACTATGTACCTATTATGGAATTCATGTTCTGATGCAAGAGACCTGCATTTGATCGAATCCCTGAAACTTATCAACTCATATTTTATTATTTCTATAACGTATTGGAAATGGTGGAGAATATTATATAGCAGATTTTAAAATAAAAAAATTATTTCATCTTTGATTTTTTAATTCTGTGTTAAAAAAAGATTCCTGATTTTCACCAATGTCTCTATTTCAGACGTTTTGTTCTGATGACTTCTTTCCCAGAAACTCCACACAGGTGCTTCTCTGCACCAATATTTCTCGGTTTATGATGAAGAAAGTGTTATCCACTTACTTTAGTAGTACTGCCCATATTCTCCCAAGTTCTCAGTTGGGCACCTCTGTGACTTTCCGCTGCTGCGGTTTTACTAGAGGCGGTGGAGGGCTTTCGGGTTATATACATGCCATTTGCAGGGTCCCACCACATTTTACCGTGAAGTGAGCCACCAAGAAAGATACACCAGAGAAGGGTTGGTTGGTTCAGTGCTTCTGATTTTCATCAATGGGGTGCATTGAACAGCCCACAGTACAATATAAGGCATCATTAAAAAGGAACTAAGGGGATGCGGGTGGCGCTGTGGGTTAAACCACTGAGCCTAGGACTTGCCGATCAGGTCGGCGGTTCGAATCCCCGCAACGGGGTGAGCTCCCGTTGTTCGGTCCCTGCTCCTGCCAACCTAGCAGTTCAAAAGCACGTCAAAGTGCAAGTAGATAAATAGGTACCGCTCTGGCGGGAAGGTAAACGGCGCTGCTCTGGTTCGCCAGAAGTGGCTTAGTCATCCTGGCCACATGACCTGGAAGCTGTACGCCGGCTCCCTCGGCCAATAAAGCGAGATGAGCACCGCAACCCCAGAGCTGGCCACGACTGGACCTAATGATCAGGGGTCCCTTTACCTAAAAAGGGACTAACCTTAAATCTCGCCCTCAGTTACGTTCACTAAAATGGGCACATACTATGACAGATATTTTGATTACAGATAGGTAGCCGTGTTGGTCTGCCATAGTCAAAACAAAAAAATTCCTTCCAGTAGCACCTTAAAGACCAACTAAGTTAGTTCTTGGTATGAGCTTTCGTGTGCATGCACACTTCTTCAGATACACAGATATTTTGATGGTCCTTTACACAGTGCAGGCCTTAGAAACTGGGAGGGCTATTGCGAGGGAGGGGGCTTTTAATTGCCTCCACAGGCCTGGCGGAATAGAAATGTTTTCCGTAAGCACAGGAGGCGCCCACTTGAGCTTCGCGCATCCCTTCATATAGCGGAGCCAAGGAGACGAAGGAAGCCTCGTCTTTGCGCATGCTCGAAAGCCTGGCGGTAGCTGGGGCGGGGGGGGGGGAGAGAAGCTTTACGCTACTCTCCGGCCCGCTCGCTCTTGCTGCGCTTGCGCGATGTAGACAATGACTAGAGCAAAAGCGGACCGGAAGTGAGCGGGAGACTGCTCCGCTCCTGGCGGCAGCCTTGGCCGGCTGCGCCTGCGCGGGAACCTGTGACCCCGGAAGCACTCCCCGTTGCCTGAACTCCAGCTCCTGGAAGCTGCCCCTTGCATGCTGTGTCCGCAGACGGTTCCCCCCCATCGCCGCTACGACCACTTTTCCTCCTCCCGCTGACCATGTCCCGAGGCTCCAGCGCCGGCTTCGACCGGCATATCACGATCTTCTCCCCTGAGGGGCGTCTCTACCAAGTAGGTGAGTGTCTGGCAGGAACTGCCCCGTCACGGCCCCGGGCCCCGCCTCTCTCCGGCCCCATCGGAGGAAAGGGGCAAAGTGAGGGGAGCAGCCGCCCGCTCCCGTGTATTGGGAAGAGGGAGCACGTGGTGGATATGCGGGGCGCCTCTGCCTCTCCCGCAGCCGCTTGCAGAGGGAAAGTGCCAGGAACGCGGTAGTCATGGGTCTCCTCCGTGCAAGGTGCCTGGGCATCTTGTGAAAGAAGTGCAGGACCGCGCAGCGAAAAAGCTGTCTTTGTTTAAAAGCGAAACCGAAAGGAGTCTGCTGCAAAGGAGAATGTACCCCAGTGCTTGCGGGACGGGGGGGGCATTATCGCTATCCTTTTCATGATGAAGTTGCACTTGCTGAATATTCCCCTCCCTTACCAACTATTGAAGTTTCAGCGCTCTTGATTTCTTTTGCATCAGATCACCCTGTTGATTTCACATTTACGATAATTGGGACAGGGGACTGGGACTGGAACGGGTTTCAGCTTAAAAAACAAAAGCAGACTCCCAAATGCTTTTGCAAAACTGAAGTGAAGAGAGAGTGTAAACCTTATGATTAGCAGCAGGACACTCCAGCATTGCAAAGTTAACTCAAGTATCCGGTAGTATGGACAAAAACACATAACTGTGGAATGAGAGAGGTGTAAAACTATAGGAATTTGGTTGTGTCAAATGCTCTTTAGTTTGAAATATGAAAAAACACACGAATGTATGCCCGCAATGATTTCAAGCTGTGTAACACTAAAAGTACTACTGAAGATGAGTAATCAGAGTTTGCATTTGGGAACTTCTGTATATTCTACGTAGCATCGTTGTCAAATCTCCTGACTATGTTTAATGTACCATTTAGAGTATGCATTTAAGGCCATAAACCAGGGTGGCCTTACATCAGTAGCTGTTCGTGGAAAGGACTGTGCAGTTATTGTCACACAGAAGAAAGTACCTGTAAGTAACAGTATCCTGAGCATCTGATTCTTTTTTTATTATTATACGCTTGGATAATTTGCTTCCTTGTTGATCCTTAATAATTAACTCCTCTGCTGTTTATTCTTGTTACTTAAAAGTACCAGAATTCTCTGGAGCATATAAGTAGGCTTATAAAGAATCAGACTTGGAATTCTTGGGAAAACACACTTGGGTAAGGCTACTCCCACTGCAGAGTATCGCAGTCCAGAATGCACAGCCCCAAAGTGGGCACTGGGCATTGCTTTCTTAAATCTTTTGAATGGTGGTCAGATTGATCCTCGTGTCAATCAAAGCCTTATGAAGAGTTCAACCCACCATAGAGTAACTCAGTCAACACTTCCCACTGCCACCCCAGTCTGGCTGTCACCAGCCAGGGTATTTAGGGGTGAAGAGAAAGAGAAGCTGGTCAGGGTCATTCAGGCTTTCCATTGAACCATCTTATTTTCATCTTAATAGTACTGGACAGTGATGTTGTTTGAAGGCAGTGTTAGTGACAATTCCACTTTTTAGTTCTTTTTGTTTTCTCAATGTGGAAACCTTCATTTGGCTGAGTAGAATATTGTTTAAACCTATTCTTTGGCTTTCTCCATTAGGACAAGCTGCTGGATTCTAGCACAGTGACTCACTTATTCAGAATAACTGAAAACATTGGCTGCGTAATGACAGGAATGACAGGTATAAAAATTACCCACCTGGAGAGCGAATGGATGATGACGTACAATGTTGATATGGAGTCAAAATATAATACTTCTTGTTAATATCCAGTGAATTGTTATGAGCCAGAGGCATTTGATTTAGTACTGCCTCTGAATGTAAGCAAGTCTTACCAATTTCTGAATGGGAAACTTTCTCATAACCCTTTGCATATTGCACAGATATCCCTGGGAGGGGAGAGGGTGGTATAAATTATTTTATTAAGCCAGTCTACGGGAGGTGTAGGAGAAATATTTCAAATTAGTTTTGTATTCAGATTTTAAGTACAGTCATACCTTGGTTCTCGAACGGAATCCGTTCTGGAAATCCATTTGACTTTTGAAAACCAAGGCACGGCTTCCGATTGGCTGCAGGAGGTTCCTGCACTCAATCAGAAGCTGCGTCGGACATTTGGGTTCCAAAGAACATTTGCAAATCGGAACACTCACTTCTGGGTTTGCGGCGTTCGGGAGCCAAAATGTTCGAGTCACAAGGTGTTCGCGAACCAAGGTACGACTGTACAAGCAACTCACAATTACATGGGAGTTATGTTCCAAGGCACCACGTGTTTAAGTGAAATCACATATATTTGAAACACCATTGAGAAAAGCCTACAAATACCCAATTCTGCCTCTTTTTGTAATGTTTTGGGGTCACTCCGGGTTTGGCGTGATGTGTAGGTGCACTGTAGTGCACATATTGAACACGTGTAAATGGGGAGTTACCTATAGCTTTTTTCTTGAAAATACATTGACTACATGAAGCATGGGAATGATTTCAGTTCTTTATTTATTTCAGCTGACAGTAGGTCCCAGGTGCAGAGAGCCCGCTATGAGGCTGCAAACTGGAAGTATAAGTATGGCTATGACATTCCAGTGGACATGCTGTGTAAAAGGATTGCAGACATTTCTCAGGTCTACACACAAAATGCTGAAATGAGGCCTCTTGGTTGCTGTAAGTATATAAATATAAACTGAAAGTAACATTTCAGAACTTTTGGGATGCTAAGGCTGAAATATTGTGCACATGGACATCAGTGGGATACTGCTCAGAAGATGCTGCTTCTGGACGGAGCAAAGTGTAATTCAACCCCATTGTGGTTCTCTGTGGTTCTCATGAATTTCTTTCATGATGGTATTTAAAGGCAACCTGGAAAGCTTAAACCTCACAGGAAACCTCACAGGAAAATCCTGATCCCTTTGCCCAGGAGCAGTGTCTTCATCTCACCTACAATCTCATCCCACTGAAGAAGGGAGACAGTTTCTCAAACAGATACTCGTGCTTTGTATCTCTGAGGAAAGTGGAACCAGGGCCATTCCAATTTGACACTGGTTAGCTGCCTGTAAATTGCACAAAAACACAGATAAGATTACAAAGGCAATAATTTAATCTTCTGAAGCTGAGTTAGAACAGAAGGTACAATCTGCTTGTGTTTTTGCTCTAGATTTTGGGACCTACCAACTAGCATTATCTTAGTCTTCCCTTTATTCAGATTTGCCTTGAGATTATTACGTTATGCAACAGATTTGCTAATGTCTTGTGCCAATACTACATATTCTACACAACCTTCTAGTTGTGACCGATAGATATGTATTTGAAAAGCATCAAATGAAATTGATTTTAAGCATTTTTTAAAAACACTGTATTCAACCTAGATCTTATGCTTGGAAGTACTTTCAGGGTGACCTGTTTACTGAGAAACTGATTTAATTGAAGTACCTGCTCTTAAAGTATCTGGTTTCAAGTAATATTGTTGCAAGACACACTGAAAG